TGTGTGTGTGTGTGTGTGTGTGTGTGTGTGTGTGTGTCCCTCTTTAAACCTAATCTGTTTTACTGTGTGTGGTCACAAAGCTGGGGGGGGTCGTTCACAGAGTGACATTTTTAGGGTAACAGTCTCCGTCTCTGGGCAACACACACACACACACACACACACACACACACACACACACACACACACACACACACACACACACACACACACACAGTGAAGTGTTAACTGGATAATCCCCTCAGTGTTTACTCAGCGGACCTCCGTCACTTCGGGGACAAAACAAGCCGCAGAATAAATGAAACGCTCCGTCCGTCTCAGCGCCTATAGGTCGAGAAGCAGAAGCTGAGTCTCTGAGTCTCACTCTGACGGTCTAAATGTTAAAACTATCAACAGACAAACTTTTACACTCTGTCGTTCATCTGCAAACTCAAACTGCATCCAAACACAGGTTTTATCCGTTCAGTCACCTTTAAACGATGAACTGTGCATTTACAACGATCCGGAATCAAATAAATGTTTGAATGGAAACTGCAGGACGTGATTGGAGATAAAACAGCTCAGAGTGAAGAGAGGACACTTTGTTGCTCTGTCTGAACTCACCTATTAAACATATTTACAATCTAGAAACACCTATAGTTGGTTTGAGCAACGGACACGTGTTTAAAATGTGTGGTTTGATTGAACAAAGGACTGTCTGAATTGTTGGAATGAAACTGAAGGACAGGATGGAAATAAAAAGGCTCACAGTAAAAGAAACAGACACTTGTTTTAAAATCTGTTGCTGGAGTAAAAACTCACTTATAAAACATTTTTACATTTAAAAAAAACACCTTTTCGCGACGAGCACTTGTTTGAAATGTGTGGTTTGAATTCAGATCATAAAAACTCATCCTAGTTTTTGTGAAACTGCAGGATCCTTTTCAAATGAGTCAAAATGATTTTCCTTTACGAGTCATTTAAAATATAACTTTTAAGTTTAGATTTGTACGTTAACAGCAACATATATACAAATATAATGGATACATGAACCCTTTGGTGATGTATTCATGATTATTACTGATGTTTAATTAGTGTGTTATTTACTAGCTGAACATATTGAGGTACAGATCCTGGAGCGACGAATACACCGGATGAAATACTGCAAAGTGTATTTGTATTTAAGTCCTGAACATGACACACAGAGTCCGGTGTGTAGCTCTGCAACACAAGATTTATATATATATATAATTAATGAATTAGCCGGTTTAAATCTGTTTGCACCAAATGTCAAAGAGCATTGAATGTCACAAAATGAGCAGTTTTTGTTAAACCTGCAGGATCTTACAGTTTATTACATTTCTATATTTAAAGAACTGTTCTTGAATATATAGAGTGGTTACAGTCATTTGAAAGCCCTGTACGGAGACACTGAGTCCCGTTCAAGTTTAGTGTTAAATATTTGACGTCCGAAAATCCCGCTGGTTCAGTTTTAGGGATTTTTTGTCTGGAGGATTTACAGACCTGACGAGTGAGGAGGAGACGATCCGACAGGTGGGATCAAAGGAAATGCACCTGATTATCAGAGCAGTCAATCAATGAACACCGATGAAAGTATATTATAAATCACAGCAAAGAAAACTATCATTCAGGTTTTGATTACATTTCTCTCATTTATTTCTAAAAATGTTTAATTAAACATGAAGTGACCAGTGTGTGTGTGTGTGTGTGTGTGTGTGTGTGTGTGTGTGTGTGTGTGTGTGTGTGTGTGTGTGTGTGTGTGTGTGTGTGTGTGTGTGTGAATAACAGGCCTCTTCACAGCTTTTTAAAGTCACTTTTCTCAGGAAGGTATTTTAATGGAGGCGGATGAGCAGACGACGCTCAGGGAACAGAAATCCCACGCTGTTCATGCTTTTAGTTCAGAAACTCACAAACACTGAAATATTGTTCAGACAGCAGGAGCATGCAGCAGGACACACACACACACACACACACATCTCAACATTTTAGAAAACTTTAAATTAAACAGAAACAGAATAAAAACATTTAGATCTCTTTTTGTTCAAAGTGCATCAGAGCGTTGCGTTCAGGGTCAAAATGTCTCCAGGGTTTAAAGAACCTCTGACGTAAATATATGGTCTCAAGTCTCTCAGATTGTTCGTGTCGATGACAGACGTTTCAAACAGGGGTCATTATTTGGCTCATTTGCATTTTTATGAAGCTTTTCCTCCACGGCCTTTATCCGGGAACAAAAGTCCTGCGAGTGGAAACAGAGAAACAGAGAAACTTCCTTCGGGGGTTTGTTGGCGCCGCAGAAAGGAAACTGAAGTGAAGTGGAAACAAATCTTAGAGAGTCATTAATCTGAGGCTGGCTTTCAGAGCAGGAGAAAGGGCGGCACAAAAGATCCAGAGCAATTTGTCAGGAACACGGAGGAATGTGAGCGAGAGAAACCAAATAAAATCATGTGTTTATTTCTGCTGTTTGGAGGTCAGAGGTCCGAGGTCACGCTCTCTCTTTACAGAAGGACTGATTTGTTTCTTATTAGAAATACAATTAGATAATTAAACGCATCCTCACACTCTTGGACAAGAAGAAGCTTTGGAGTCGCTAAGTCTTTCCCTTTTTCTGTTTAAAGAGTTTGTGTATTACATCAAAAGAACAGTTGTCAGAAACAGAGCGAATAAACTGAAATAAAATAATAATAATAATAATGATGATGATGATGATGATGATGGCACTCCTGGACGTGAAGAAGCTTTGGAGCTAATCAATCTTTCACTTTTCTTTTTTTTCAAAGATATCTTGTTTTATATAAAAAGAGTTCCGTGCCCCGGGAACCGTGGAAGCCTCTGAAGTGAATGAAATCAAATAAATGTCCTTATTTCTGCTGTTTGGAGGTCAGAGGTCACGCTCTGTCTTTACAGGATTTATTTCTTATTAGAAATAAAACGTGAATTCACTGAAAACGCATCTTTGCATGTTGAACACTCAGGGACATGAAGAAGTCTTTCCCTTTTTTTTTTAAAGAGTTTGTGTTTTATATAAAAAAGAGTTCCGTCCAGAACACACTGTTTCTTTACAGGATGATGAATTTCTTATTAGAAATAAAACATGTAAATGAAACGCATCCATTCCTCTCAGACTCCTGGACATGAAGACGCTGATCATCTTTAAAGAGTTCATTTTGGATATAAAAGAGTTCCGTCAGTGCACCGACACCTGCAGCCCCGCGGGGGGAGAGAGCTCCTCTCCGGGGGGGCTCTGCGGGGACCGCGCGGGGGAGTGCGCGAGGAAGGCCGGGAGGTGCGCGTGCAGCATGGCCCCGTGCCCGTGGGGGGGCTTGATGGGCACGGGGATGGCGGGAAAAGTCTGCAGGCTGTAGGGCGGGAAGTCGCTGCTGTCCATCATCCCGGAGCCGTACACCGACCAGGGGGGGGGGAGAGGCGCGTGGTGCAGCGGGAACCCCGCGGGGGGGAAGCCCGCGAGGCCACCGGGCATCTTGTACTCTCGCGCGATGATGTTCTCGATCGCGAACGGGTGTTTGAACGGCAAGGAGCTCGTGTAGCCGCCCGGCGGCAGGTGCGCGTGCAGGGCGCTGAGCCTCAGCTTGGCCTCGCGCTGCTGCTGCACGAGGAACTCCTGAGCCTTACTGCTGACCGCCAGAGGGTCCGCTAGCAGAAGGCCTCCGAGCAGCTTGAACCGCTTCCGGCGCCGCAGGAAACTCCCGTTCTCGAACATGTCCCCGCAGCTCGGGTGCAGGGCCCAGAAGCTGCCCTTCCCCGGCTGGTCCGGCCTGCGCGGGATCTTGATGAAACAGTCGTTGAAGGACAGGTTGTGGCGCAGGGAGTTCTGCCAGCGCTGCGTGTTCTCGCGATAGTAAGGGAAGCGGTCCATGATGAACTTGTAGATCTCGCTGAGCGGCAGCATCTTCTCCGGGCAGCCCTGGATGGCCATGGCCGTGAGAGAGATGTAGGAATAGGGAGGTTTCTGGTCGCTGTAGGTGTTCCTGCCGGGCCGAGGCATCCTGACGCAGCTCTGTGTCCAACTCTTTAAAACTGCTTTACGCACGAGGAGAGGCTTTCGTGGTGTTTGGCACGCATCGCTCCGGCTCTCTTTACGCACAGAACTAAAGTTAACGTGAGTTTATATCTCCGCTGTCTCTGCTGCTCCATCCCGACTGTCCTCCACAGAGGAAACTCATTAATGGGCCACTTTTCTTCTCCATCACATGATCTTAGAGAGAGAGATGGGAGGGGTTTAGAGAGAGAGAGAGAGAGAGAGAGAGAGAGAGAGAGAGAGAGAGATGTGTGTGTGTGTGTGTGTGTGTGTGTGTGTGTGTGTGTGTGTGTGTGTGTGTGTGTGTGTGTGTGTGTGCGTTACAATGTTGTTTCAGTTACTTTACACTTTCATTCGGAGCCAAAACACGCAGAGACAATCCGGGAGAAAGAGCTCTGTGTACGGGGAGGAGAGAGCAGCGCTGTTGAGGTATGTTTGGACACATTTTACGCGCAGTGTGTGAGAGTGTGTGTGTGAGAGTGTGTATTAAGCGGGGGGTGCTGGGTGCCCCTCACCAATTTGCATTGACAAATAGAGCCGCTGTTTGAGGATTGAATGGCTTAGTTCCTGCTTCATGTCCTCTCTCCATAGCGCCGATAAGAGGCGGAGACAGGAGCAAATCATCGGTACAATTAAATAAATAAATAAATAGATCTAAAAAGACAGATTTTTGCACAATAATTCCAAACTTTTGGGCACACATTATTGGACTGTTAAACTACTCTATAAATCTTTATTTCCTGTTTTTAATTTACACTGAATTAAACAAACATCCTGTACAAACAAATAGTTTTTAATTCCTCCTAATTGTCCTTCTCAATTTGATCGCTTTCATTTGTTCCTTTCCTTTAATGCTGACGGTAAGGACTATTTAAGGGTTTATTTAAGGGTTTATTTAAGGGACAAAATGCACTTGTTTTTCTCGTTTTAAATCAGTGAATGAAAGCGTTAGTTTTGACCTCTCTGCTGAGCTGTTAATCACTCATCACAGAAGAGAGACTGAAGGGTTTTATTTCGGTTTAATTAAGGGTTATTTCAGCGCTTTTTCCTTTAAGGTTGTTTCTTAATTTAAGTGGTTTTGATTATTACAAACACTAAAAACCTCTGTATTTTATTTTTGCAGAGGCACAAAGGGAAGGGGGGTTTATTCTCTGTGAATTTAAAGACATTTCGTTTTTTGTTTTTGTGGAAAAGGGATTTTACTAAAGCAGCCATTTCCGTGTTCCGTAATTACGCAAAAACGCACCAAATATTATTATAATTATTACAATACTTGTTATTATTATTTGTATTATTAGAATTAGGACTATCCTTTACAGTTCATTGCGGTCTTTATGCGCGCGTTTCTCCCGCAGTGATAAATAATAAAGCACTTCATTAATTAGATGTTTAATAAGTGATTTAATAATGTGAGAGAGTCGTTAGTTAATGATCGAGTTTATAGATTTAAGAGAACAATCCATAATGTTTTTATTTATTTATAATACAATACCAATAAAATCACAGGAAATAAAATGTTTATTTAAAAATTACAATTGTTTTGGTTTCCATGGAAGCAGCTTTGTGTTTCTGATGAGAGATACAGGGGGGGGGG